GTTTCTGTTCCCTCCCCAAGCCCAGTTTGCAACTCCTAAAATACGGATCAGAACAGATGGAGATGCTTTTCTCCATCTGGGTTTCTTCTCGTGCCTTTCAGAGAGTGAGTGGATGGGAAAGGAAAATCATATTTTTGAGCATTTACTGTATATCAGGTTTTGCACATATATAGTGTCATTTTTCCAACAGGTGTGTGAGGGGGAAACTTGCAGTTGGATAATCTGTTGTGTTTTTTTTAATAAGTTCTCTTGTCTACAAAGTGGAAGATATGGGATACCAGGGTTCTCTAAGTGTAGTCCAGAAAGTATTGCTTCACCTTGGAACTTGGTACAGAAGCAAATGCCTGGGCCCCGTCCCAGACATGCTGCACCGGATGCTGGGCACAGGGTCAGCACCTGTGCCTCATAAAGCACCAGGAGTCGCTGTGGGGCAGGCTAAGGTTTGCAGGTCACCACGGCTCATCTCACCTCAGTGCAGGTGAAGCACCAACTGTGAAAGGGCACATTAGTGATTGTCTCTTCCTTCCCAGTGGGTCGTTTAGAGTGCGGGTCATCTCCTGGCTCAGCTCTGCTCACCACGCTAGTGCCTCACATGTGAACGCAGCACACACACTTCAAAGAGTTCATGGAAAATGGAATTCAAAACAGAAGCTTATTTTGGTTTAAAATATTTCAAAATTCATGCATAGTTTTTAATTCTATGCATTTCCTAAGAAATTTTTGCAAGGCCTATTATTTGTATACATACGTACACATATAAATTACACACATATATTATAGTATATATGTGTTAAAGATGTTTCTTTATTAGAAACACGCAAAGAAATGTTGAGAATTCGTACCTCCATTCAGAGAATAATTACAAAATTCACGATTTACATAAAAATCACTCCAGCTGGTCTTAGGTACCCATGGCTTTCTTCCTGGCCTTGTGATAGTCCACGATGGAGTATGCCCCACGGGCACGTGAACACACCGTGCACTGAGCTGATACTGACGTGTGTGCTGCAGCTGACTGACGTCTGTTTCTCACAACTGTCAGGGCCCCTCAGCTCTTGGGAGCCTGCTCTTCTGTCTGGGAGGGGCAGGAGTGGTGCACTTGAAGTGTCCATGCATCCAGAGGCCCGAGAGCAACTCACCTTTCGAAACCCTTTTAGAGATTTGTTGTTTTATTCATTTATTTATTTGAAAGGCAGTGTGTGTGTGTGTGTGAGAGAGAGAGAGCGAGAGGGAGAGAGAGAGAATTGAGATCTTCTTGCTTCTGATTCACTCCCCAAAGCCTGCAGCAGCTAGGACTGAGCCATTCATCTGGGTCTTCCATGTGGTGGCAGGGACTCAGGGCCTGCGCCAGCACCTGCTGCCTCTCAGGTGCATCCACAGGACGCTGGTGGGAAGCCGAGACTCAAGCAGGCACTTGATACGGGTTTCCGGTGTCCCAGGCGGCGACTTTACCCCTAGTGACACAAAACCTGCCCCGTGCACTCTGGCCCTCCTTCAGATGTGACCTGCCACACGCCACTGGAGCCACCCTTTCCTAATTACTGGGAGGAGAGAATTAAGACAGCCCTGGTATCAATGGGGAAAAGCCACTGCAAACGATAAATGGCGGTTTTAACATTTTCTTTGATTTCTTAAATTTGCATTGATTTAATTTCTTTTATTTGACTGAGACACACAGAGAGAGAGAGAGAGAGAGAGACAGACAGACAGACAGAGAGAGAGAGAGTAAAAGACAGAAACAAAGATCTCCCATCTTCTGGCTTACTTCCCTGTAATGACTGTGACAATTGGGGTTGAGGCCAGGAGCCAGGAACTCAACCCAGGTTTTCCATGTAGGTGGCAGGGACCCAATGACTTCCCAGCATGCGAATTATCAGGAAACTGGAATGAGAAGCAGAACCAGAACCACATGGACGTTCCACAAACCCACCCCAGTTCTTGCTGCTCCAGCCTCCTCCGACTGTCGCCCTCCCAGCACAGGCAATGCATTTGGGAAAAGACGCATCACGTGGCCTCCATGCTGACCCCTCTTTTTAGGGAAGAATTTCCCTCAATTGTTTAGTTTCCATCACTCTCTTTTTCACACATGACATTCAATAAGCAAACAACGTCACAACTGGCCATCAGAGCAACGTGCCATCATCTCCCAGATTTTCACACAAGTACAGGTTTCTTTGCTAATTACCATTCTCATTTGTGATTGTTTGTTAAGTTCTATTTTTATGTCACGTATCAAGCTCATGTTTTCTGTCCCTTCCCACTTCGGTCACTGCTTTGCTCTGGTGGTTTGGTTGAGACGTCTCCACTGATTCTTCTGCAGTTGCCACCTAATTGGAGGTGGTGTGCATCCTTTCCAGTGTGGCGGAGCCCCTTTGCCTTCCTCCCCCTGTGGGCATCAGTGCTGGTGCAGTTCCCAGTGCTGCTAAGTCAGGGTCCTGGGTCCGTGGAGTGTGTTATGTCTCGGCTGGGAATCAGGTGGAGCCCATCTGCAGAGCCGCTGGGAATCAAGTGGAGCCCATCTGTAGAGCCGCGGTCTTCCAGGCACCCAGGCCTCTCCAGACAGGGCCACAGGTCTGCAGACTCAGGTCCCATGGTCCGTCTCTTGCTCTGATCCCACTTGGCTAAGGCTGCTCTAAGTAACCGGCTTTCGAACTTGGAGAGAGATCAAGGCTTTCACAATCGCTTAAAGATCAACGAGGAGAGACAAGGCCTGCAGTGGTAAAATAATGGGCTTCTCATATGGTTTGATGACAGGAAGGGTGACTAGGTGCCCTGGAAGGACACTGCAAGAGCAGGTGTGGACCCCCCATCAGATAAGCGATGAGGGCAGGGACCACCGACTTTCCTGCAAACGGCAGCCTGGGAAAGCCTGCCACTAGATGGCAGCAGTGCCCCATGTTTTCCTTCCAGCTTAAAACGATTTTGACATCTTGGGGGGGGAGGGAGAAATCGCAATATTAATACAAAAATACAACCACATTACAAAGCCAGCCAGTCTGTTTTTTCAGCCGTTTCCTACCCTGCTCATACCTCCGATCAAGAGAGATTTGGTGTGAATCATTGTACGTCTCTTACATATGAACTGACCGAAGAAAACGCCCCATTACAAGTAACAGCAAAACTGAGTGGCTGTTGGGACTGGCTATTGGAATCATTGTTTCTCAACACTTCGAATCAAGCAGATTCTTACACCGTGGAGAGGGGCGAAGGCCTGTGAGGTTTTTCAGCGTAACGTGACTAAGGGGAAGTGAAACCTGAGCTTGCCACAATGACAGGTGAAGGCGTCCAGTTTCTCTCCCGTGACACCCGGCGTTCCTGATTGGATCCCAGGAATGTAAAACTCACCTGTGAGTCCTAGCTCAGGACAGTTAGATTTTGGAAACGTTTGTTAATGGCAGGCATCCTTCTTGGTGGCACGCATCATTGGGAACGGCAGTGCCAAGACGGGGCGCCATTTCTCAAGGAGAAGTGAGCTCTTTAACTCCCTCAAAGAGATCAATTTTTCCTGATGAGGAGCTTGAAACAAACTATTGGGGCACTTACTGGATATTTAAAAGCATTCCTTGTGTACTTGCTGAATCTCAGATATATGGGGCCTGCCTGGGGACTAGGGACCCACCCTGTCTTCCACGTGCCCAGGTCACTCCCAGGAATGAAGGCATCCCTTCCATAGGGCCACTCTGGCTTCCTAGTCCCCCTCTGAGGATCACACAAGCAAAGCAGGCTCACACTGGGGAGGGTGGGAGCCCCATCTGGGACTGCAGTTGTGAGAGAAGAAGTCCAGCACCCTCAATGGGGAAGCTCCCGTGTGTGTGAGAGGAAGGTGTCTGTGGAAGCAGGCGGCTCCAGGTGCTCTGGGGGCGGGAGGGGGCCCCGTGACGAAGATGAGAAAGTTGTGCTTTAGGGCTTTCCTTTCCACCCTCTGCTGCATTTTCTGGATCCAACATCACATTTTAATGAAGTCTGGAGACCACAGGGTCAGGGAGTCTAAGACAGTCAAAGGAGGGTGTGAGACACGCAATCCTCAACCTGTTTATTCCCCAAGCCTGAGGCAGAAAAAATGCAGGTTCAAGGAATGCAGCCATGGCCAGCGGCCAACAGTGCCCATCCCACCACAACCTCTCAGTGCCCTGGACAGAACAGCATCTCACAGGGCTGGGACAGGCCCATGTGCCCAGGAGTGGGGTTGCCTTGTTCCCCAGAAATGGCGAGCCTTTAATGTGTTGCCAGCGCTGGTGAAATCCACTTCAGTGGACCCACCCCGGTGCTGCAGAGCCCAGCTCTGCCGGTGCTGCATAGGGTCCCTTCTCAGACAACTGACTGTGCTGTCTAGTGTCACCTGCAGGTGTGGCAGGAGCCAGTGCTCAGGGCCAGACCCAAGTATCAGTATCGGTTCCAGAGGATCCCTCTCATTTTGAGAGTGGACTGAACCTGGAGTTGGGGTGTGGGTAACCCTAATGCAGCCCCAAGTGAGGAACTCTTAACCTCTCAGAAAGAGTCACTTTATAAAGGATGAGTTTCACAAATCTGCGTGTGCATATATATGATATATGCATTATATATAATGTGCGCGTGCACATGTGTGTATATTTATATCATGTATGTCTATTGTGTATAATACACAATATGCCATATAGCATACATATGTATGTGCGTAACATATATATTACATACCATATAGCATATACATGTGTTTCTATATGTTAGTATAATATATGTCATAGTCCATATGGACAAACATGTATGTGTCCATTTTTATATATACCTGTGTGTGAATATATATATTTTACTCTCTCTCCCTTGGGGTCAACGCTGTGCCCTTTCTCTTCCCGTGCTAAGTTATGCGGGGGCTCCCCGCTGGTCGGCCAGGAGGCAGGGACCAGCCTGTGCCCCCCCGCAAAAGCCCCCGCGTTTTCCGGAGTGGCGCGAACGCACCGCTGCCCGCCTGGGTGCGGCGTGGGCTTCCCCTAGCCGTGCGCCCAACAAGTCTCCCCCGTGCCGCCTGCGCGCCCTCGCGCTGGAGGCCGCGTGGAGCGCAGCCCCGGGCGCTGAGCCCAGGGCCCGAGGCTCGGGCTCCGTCCGGGAGTGCGCCGTGCCCAGCTAGCCTCGTTCCCCTCTCTGTGGGTAGGGATGGTTGAGTCCAGCAGCCACGGCAGCGGCTCCCGGTGCCGCTAGCAGCCTGTCTTCTGCGCTCTCCGCCTTGGCCTCCGCAGACTGGCTCTCTCCTCCCCCGGCGCCCCTCCCGCGTCTCCCACTCGCTGGCTCTCCCTCCAGCTGCCTCCTCTCCAGGTCTCTCCCGGCTGCGCGCGCTCCTCCGCGCGCCTCGCCCCTCCCGCAGCCTCGCCGCCTTGGTGCCTTCCTGCCCGGCTCGGCCGGCGCTCCTCCCCGGCCCCGGCCCCGGCCCGGCAGCCCGGGCGTCCGCGCTCGCTCGGAGCCGCTCGCCAGCCCTGCAGTGGCTCGGGACCGATGCTATGAGAGGGAGGCGAGCCGGGCGTCCAGACCTGCAGGAGGCGTCGGACGCGCGGCCGGTCTCGGGACCGAGGTCTCTCCGGCTCGCTTTGCCCGAGGGTGAATATTTGGCTCTGCTCGCAGCCCTCCCGTTCCCCGGAGGATTCGGGCACATCTGAGAAGCGGCCCCGGCGGCGTGTGCGTGTGGAATAGCTGCAGACATGACTGCGTGGAGGAGACGCGAGTCGCTGTTCCTGCTCCTGTTGCCCGCGGCTCTGTGCGCCGGGCTCGTCACTGCAGCGGACGGTAAGCGAGGCTCGCCACGGGGCCGGGGGAGGCGGCCGGCCCCGCGGAGGCCCCGTCCGCGAGCGCAGGTGTCGGTCTGGGGACGGCAGGGCGCCGAGGACGAGCCGCGTCTGCCGGGCGTTCTCCATCGCTGGCGCTCCGGGAACGCGTCGCCGGGGAGCGGAGCTCGCCGCGCGCTCGCCGCGACCCTCGCCCGCCCCCGGCCGCCCCACCCCCGTTCCGGCTTCCCCTCGCTCGGGCCGTGGCAGGTGTCCCTCTGCTTGGCGGTGGGCGGTCAGGGAGCGGGGAGACCCGCACGAGTTGGGCTGAAACTGCGCGGCGGCGGTGGGCACGCCGGGTCGCGGGGGCTCAGGGGGCACTTCCCGGACTTTCTCCCCGGACCCTGCGCGCCTGGCAAAGCGGCCCTGCGACGCCGGCCTTGCGAGCTGGGGGCTGTGCCTCGGGATCGGGGTAGTGGGCGGCGTAGCAGCCCTCCAGCCGGCCTCCCGCACCCTCACAGCCCAAGCCCGGGTCTCTCCTGCCCTCCTCCAAGGCACTCAGCTGCCTCTGGACGATCGCCCCCGCTCTCCGCCCCCCGGACTTCGCTCCTCGCAAGTTGCAAGCAGCCGACTAGGAGCACGCAGAGGGCAGGGAGTTGAGGTCGGGCCCCCACGTCAGGTGCTCGCGCCCTGGGCACGGGGCGAGCCTCCGCTGCACGCTGGGGTCTAGGAAAGGGGTCCCGCGGGGCGGCTGCGGGGGCTTGCGGCTCTGCCAAGTTGGTTCTCTCCTAGAAACGAGTTAGGGAATGTTTGGCTGTGAGCAGCCGGGGCTGGCACACAACAACAGCTCGGGTACTGTTCTGTTTCCTGGGAGAGAGAGAGAGAGAGAGAGAGAGAGAGAAGAGAGAGAGAGAGAGAATGAATCTGATTGATTTTCACATCGGCAGCCCCTGCCCTTATAGCCAGCCTTCCTGGGTGCTTCCCAGGGCGGTCAGCGCCGGTGGCGGATTCCCGCGGACATCTATACTGTATACGTTTCTTTCTTTTTTTTCTTATCCTTTTCAGAGGATGCATTCAAATCTTGTGACTTGAGATTGTTCCCCTTGTCTCTCCAGCTCCTTCCATCTTCTCCTTCCCCCGTATCTGCTCCTCCAGTGGTCCACATTCCAGGGTGACTGACAAGGCGAAGCAGGACTCTGGTCCATTAGCAAACTCTAGATCAGCCTGGAGAGACAGGGAGAGAACTGCGGGCTGGGTTTCCCCTCCCGACGGCTCGCCCCACGGGGCGCCGAGGGCTGGGCGGGAAGTGACCGCCGGGCACCTGTCGCCCCCACCAAGCATCTGCCCTGGCCTGTGGTGTCCGCGGGAACGCACCCCAGGCCCGGTGAAGGGGCGCACCCGGGTGGGTCTTGACGTCCTGAGCTCGCGGTCATCAGGGTTGGGGCGGGCTCCGCAGACACAAACCCGCTCCCCACTCGCTCCGCGGTCAAGACGCACGGCCCTGGCGGCTGCGGGCTGCGGAGGCACCGGCATCCGAGGAGGGCCAGGCCGGCAGCAGCCTCGGGTCGCCCAGGACTGGCTGGGAATTGAAAGGCCAAGCAGGAAAAGTCAGCTGTGCGCGGGTGTGTGCCGCAGGGGAGCGAGCAGGGGCCGGAGAACAAGGCCGAGCTTTGTCCGGCAGAGCCCCGCGTGCAGAGGAAACACCTGCCACGCAACTCCGCAAAAACTTCCCGTCCTCCCCCTGCACGCAGCAACCATTCTGGGCCCGGGGCTTGCTCCTCGGGCAGGCAGCTCGGCCTGGGAGCCCACTCTGTTTCCCGGAGCTCCGTACGTCCCGTGATCCCTTCCCCCGCAATTAGCAGCGGTCGCTGCGTGGAGAGAGCGGCGGCCCTGGCTCGGCTGCTTTATTAATAATCCGCACACGTGTGTGCCGGGCGGATTCCGCCCCCATGCGGGTGGGCTGCTGCGCCAGGCAGAGGCGGGAGGGCGGGCCGTGGGCGGGGGCGTCCTGGGCCGATCCTTGGGCGAACCGGGCACAAGGCGCACAGGCTGGGCGCCCTGCTTCCTGCAGAGGCAGCCTGAGGGACTAGGGGCCTCAGACCCCCGGGCAGAGCCCAAGAGTGGAGCTGATTTCTCAGGCCCCTGGCGTGTGCGGTGCCGGAGTGGCGCGGGTTCCTGCGTGTGTGCGCCGGGGCGGAGGGGGGGACCCGGGCGCTCGGTCGCCGGGCTCCCTGCGCTATGGCCTGGACCCGGCGGCTTCTTCCCGGACCCCACCCGGGCTTGGGGCTGCGTCTCCTCGGCGCCCGCGGGGTCGTGCGGGGTGCGGGGGTCCGTAGGCAGGCGGAAGGCGGATGACGCCAGCGCCAGATTCGCTGTTGGTGCGCTCCCGCCACCGGGGTGGGGTCGAATTCCCCGGGCAGAGTATGGCCCGGGCGCCCAAGGTCGGGCCTCTGCCCCGGGGCGTAGCTGCCCGGCCCTGGGGGCTCGGCCGCCCGCTCCGGGGCGCGTGAGCGCGGTGGGGTTTTCCCGGGGAGGAGCCCCCGCGCGGAGGGAGCCGCGCGCGCCCAGGTGGCGGCTGGCGCGGAGGCCACGGCGACACCGAGTTGGGGACGCGCGGGGCGTGATTCGTGACCTGTTTGCCGGGCCGCGGGAGGCGGGCGGCGGCCGCAAGCTGAGGCCATCGGAACCTGTTAGCGTTGGACCGGAGTGTCCGCTTTTGAGGACCGTGCGGTGCGCTCCGGTGGAACCTTGGGGACACTAGGTTTCCGTGGTAGATTTTTTTCCCTTTTGCTCTTTGGCGGTGGGTGGCGGCGTGCAGGTTGAGCCCCCAGGGCGCGTATCTCTGACGAGCACCGCATCTTCAAGGGCCGCGAGAGGAGGAAGAAGGCCGCTGGTCCCACGCACGGGTGGGAATCGCTCTTCCGTGAGCTCCGGCTCAGACTGGCGTCCTGAATCCGGGGCTGATCCGCCGGCCATGTGGCTGCTTAGGCAAACAAAGTTTGCTTCTGAATTGTTTGTTGCATTTGTGCTGTGAGGAGAGCGCAGGCGTAAGCAAGCATCACCCAGAAGGCGACTAAGGGAGCACAGGTAGCCCTGGCCCAGAGCGGCCTCAGCTGAGGACGCCTGGGGAGAGAGACTGAGCGCTGAGCAGATGCGCTTCTGAGGTCCACTGGCCTGCCCAGCAAAGAGAATGTCCCACATTGCAGGATTTTACAGAAGCCATAAAATCAGTTTGGGATTGGGATGGAGGAGGATGAGGGAGACTCAGATCTACAGGGTTCCAGATGAGTTGCCTTTTTAAAAATTCGCATCACCAAGAAGGATGCTGCACCCTTTCGTTTGCCGGTCAGTTCCTTTATGGCAGGCCACAGGGCGTCCTCCCTCTCCTGGTGGAGCCCGGGGACTCTTCGGAACAGGAGCTCGGGCAGAAAACTCCTAATCCATTATACACTGAACAGGCTGACTGTGTTGAATGAAGTTAGTATCTGTTCTTCGAATTCTGAGCAGTTCTGCAGAAGGCTGCCTGGGACTTCTGGGGCACCCTTTTAGTCAGTAGTTTGGGACTTAATGTCTTGGAAAAGGTAAGTAAGGCGGTCTGCCTTCTGAAGGGAGAGGTTTCGCAAGCTGGAGTGCTGGGACAAAGCGTTCTCTTCAGACACGTTCAGAAAACCCAGAGCCGGGGACTGGGGGGTAGTAGAACCCCCAGATCTCAGGCGCCTGCACCCAGGGAGGCCTCAGGAGACAGGGGGATGGCTGGGTCCCCCGGCTCTCAGCTGCTGACCCACGGTGCTGATGAGAAAACTGCCACAGCTCCGTGTCAAAGTTCCTCCAGGCAAAAGCAGTCTCTCCTGGGCCAGTGCTGCTTCCTCTCCTATTTATTGTCTCAAAACAGACACCAAATCAGCTTTGAAAATGTCAAGAAAATGGTTCTGCTTCCTTTAAGAAATAGATAAACACAGGCTCAATGGCTGGTTAGTGCTCACTGCAGACAATCCAGCAAATCCAGTGTAGACATTTCTAAGCTGTCAAAATGCAAATGGCATATTAAATACTCTATGCTCTACTGAATTCTAAATGTGCCTCCGGTCCTTTTTCTGCTGAGCTCCTAGTGAAAATAAGCCGTTGCAACTTGTGTACGTGCAGTTTAAGCTGTGCTTTCTCTGTGGCCTCTAATATATCTTCTGGGCGAATCTCTTTCCCTCTAAAAGATAATTAAGAAGTTGCATGGACAGCTTTGCACATAGTAGATGATGAAAGTGTGCCTTCTTCAACTTTGATTAATAAATATTCTGGAGTGATATCTGAGTGGAGGTGTAGATACTCTGTAGTCCACAGTTTGTACCTTGGGTTACATGGGCACATTGGAAGGCTGTTGGCTTGGATTCCTCTACAGGAAGAGGAACTTTACCTTCCAAGCCATCAGTGCTAATGACAGCACCAAGTCCTTCTGATTCTGTGTACTGGCCAGCATGATGACTGCAAGCAGATCATTATTTTTGAAAGGAGAACAGTCTTGGACATGCAGTCTAAGGAAAGAAAGAGGTGTTTTGGCTGTGCTGAAATGAACCAGTGTTAAAGGAAGATAGGCTTCTGAGGTTGCCTCTCATTGCACAGTTGCTGTACCCAACTCATTGGAGGCTTATATCACAAAACCATCAGCATGAAAATCAAATCGTAACATTGTCAGGTTTATGCCCAGCGGAAGGAAATTAGTCTTTCTGGTAATGACTTAAAATGACAGTCAATGATCTTTGACTTCTTGATATGTCTGTATTTAGGGTAGAATTTAATTCCCAGTACTGAGGGTAATACATCACAGAATTAATATTCTCTTTGTACGGCAAAGGGTCAAAAGAAGTGCCTAAGTTTTCTGTTTGAAAGTGACTAATTGTGGGAGCTTTATGACAAGTAGCACACACCTTCTTCCCCAACTCCCCCAGCAGATAAGCTTCTTGGAATACAGAGTGGGAAACACATTCCTTGTTGAGTTGAGCTGCATTCATTAAACTGTTTCCATCATCC